GATACAGTAATTCAGTCTGATTTTAGGTTCAGTTTGCTTTGATGGTTGGTTTTAACTACTGTCATAGGTGAAAGGATACTCTTGGTAGATCCAAGTGGGAAACATTTGTTTTCTAAATCACGCTCTGATAAGATGTCTTCTACCAAATATGCAAAGGGTTTTGTTGAAATTTAACTACTGAATTTCTATTGTTCCCGAAGTCAGTCAGTGTGTTCTTGAATACTAACCATTTTTAACAAATGAAATTAAAAACTCATTAAAATGCTCCAGTTGAAAGATTTTTCAATGGAAAATTCTTAACTTTTTTGGTATAAATACAAGCATTACAGGTGACATATTGATTTTTTTTTTTTTTTTTTTTTGAGTTGGAGTCTCACTCTGTCGCCCAGACTGGAGTGCAGTGGCCGCTCCCGGCCACCGCAGCCTCAGCCTGCTGGGCTCTGGCGATCCTTCCGCCTCAGCCTTCCGAGTAGCCAGAATTACAGGCATGCGCCACCATGCCCGGCTGATTTTTTTTATTTATTGTAGAGATGAGGTCTCGCTGCCCAGGCGGGTCTCGAACCCGCGGGCTCAGGCAATTCACTCACCTCAGCCTCCCAAAGGCGTGGGATGACAGGCTGAGCCACCGAGCCCGGCTGACATATTGATTTTTGGCAACAACAGTCATGTAATGATACAAGTACTTTCAAACATTCATTTAAATCATTTTCTCCATAACAACTTTTTATTGAAAAACAGTAACTTTTTTCATGTTGTAACAGCCTTTTTTATGTGGCCAAACTTGGAATGCTTATTTTTTTGGAAAATATCAAGTAAATATTGCTCAGGAATGTATCTTTAAAAAGAACAGCAAGTTAGGAATGATTGCCTTCTTGTAAAAGAAAAATATGTAACATCCTGAAATTTTACAACTTTTTAAAGTGCTTTGGCAATAAAAAAAAGTGTAATCATAAAAGATATGATTATTTTCATCTCATTTCAAAGTATTAGAAATGTTTTACTGCATTTTAAAGGCTATATTTTTCTAAAATTAACCACTTTGGAGACCTTTTACATTTTTGTCTATTTGTTGCAGTTACTTGCTTATTAATGAATTTGACAGGTGGTGTTCTGTAACTTTACTTTGAAATCTGTATTTCATTTAAAAAAGGATGTTCCAGAGTGCATTTACACAGATTTCCACAAAACCCTATTTTGATTAAAAAGTTATTTGTTATTGAGGCTGTATCTTCTCTGGCACATCTTTTCTTTCCTGGCTGTTTGAGAAAGCTTTTTTTTTTTTTTTTTTTTTTTTGAGTCAGAGTCTTACTCTGTTGCCCAGGCTGGAGTACAGTGGCACATTCATGGCCACCACAGCCTCGACCTGCTAGGTTCAGGTGATCCTTCCGTCTCACCCTTCCAAGTAGCTGGAACTACAGGCGCATGCCACCATGCCCAGCGAATTTTTTGATTTATCGTAGAGACAGTGTCTCACCAAGTTGCCCAGGGTGGTCTCAAACCACTGGGCTCAGGCATTCCTCTCACCTCGGCTTCCCAAAGTGCTGGGATTATGGGCATGAGCCACTGTGCCCGTCTGAAAAAATTTTAACTGCCTAAGAAGTAAAATGTTAACACTTAAGATAATAATGCAAAGCCCTCTTCATATATGATTCAGAAGAGTAAGCTAGTAGTAATTTTTATTACTGTACAAGAAGGAATTAAGTTTATTATGAATTAAGTAGCTAGCTAGTGGAGGCTTCTCAGGAACTGTGGAAAGACAGGATTTAGATAAGTTTATGGGAGTTGTAGGAGAAAGAGTGACATGAGAAAAGGCATAGGCACGAAAAGACAAGGCGAATCTGGAGCTGTGGAAGAGACCGGGCTGGAGAGAAGGACTCACACTGTGCAATAGTGAATGAATAGGTAGCTAACTCCGGAAGTTCTTGAATATGAGGTTGAGGCATTAAGATTTGCAGCCAGTGATAAGCTGCTGGTAGGTTCAGAATAACTATGTAGGTGCCGAGAACACTGATACACAGATTCACAGACACATGTTGTGCTTTCTCTAAAATCTCAACCAGTAAAATGTCAAGCTCACTTCATAGTGGATTCTGAAAGAAAAGTGGGGAAAAGAGTTGTATTTTATTTCTTCCTTTGGGAAACGCATATGGTTGATTGTAAGTATTGGAAGGGATTATATTTAGCACAGTGTAAATGGGTAACAGTAATAGTAGACAGATGACTTAATTAAGAATTAAGTTAATATACAGGCCCAATTATTTTTTATTTTTATTTTTTGAGTTGGAGTCTCACTCTGTCACCCAGACTGGAGTGCAGTGGCCGCTCCCGGCCACCGCAGCCTCGACCTGCTGGGCTCCGGCGATCCTTCCGCCTCAGCCTTCCGAGTAGCCGGAATTACAGGCATGCACTACCACACCCAGCTGATTTTTTGATTTATTGTGGAGACGAGGTCTCGCCAAGTTGCCCAGGCGGGTCTCAAACCCGCGGGCTCAGGCAGTTTACTCACCTCAGTCTCCCAAAGCACAGGCCCAATTACTTAAGTAAACGTTCTAAAAAAAATACAATGTGTGTATATATTCTAGGAGAGAATCAACTGTGATTTCTACCGTGACTTAAATGCTTCTTTATTCACTTTGGAGGTGTTAAATTGAATATCACCCCCAAAAGCCACTATACTTAAGGAAGGAAGAGCCAAAAAATACTTTCAAGCTGATTTGTTCATTCATTCCGTATCTTTTTAAATAGACCAAAATGAAATCTTTATTCCATCGTTATTTTCTATCCAGAATGATTTCCCATAAAATGATGTCCAAAATATGATATTTTTGACCCACTATAAATTTTTGTTTATAATTGATTTATATCTCAAAAAATAAATGTAAGCTAATTTACTAATTTTTAATAGCGTGATAAAAGTACAAGGATATAATTGATAATATAAACATTTATGAGACTACACACTAAATGTGGGAGGTGCAATAAAATAAGTGTCCCAAAGTTGCCTGTGGGTAGAAGTTGTTATATACACAGAGTATAAGGGCTGTCCTTTGTTCTTTTATAAAACAAAACCTCTTTTGTGTAATACAAAGCATCATATAGTATAAATCACTTTTTAGACTAAGATGGAATGTTTAGATAATGGAAGAATATGACAATTTAATAAAAGCAAAGTGTTTATAGCCTCTTCAAATATATAGCCTGGATTCATCTAATGAGTAAATCTGTGAAGATAATATTTTTTTAAATCTGAAGCTTTGCTTTATAGTTGCTAAGTTTTTAATATCTGAGAGATTAAAAATCTCTCAGATATTTATTTAAACTGTTAAGGAAATACTAGAAGAAATAGTAGCCAACATTTTTTGAGTGCTTACTATGTGCCAGGCACTGCTCCAAGCACTTCTCAATACTGTAATTATTATTTAATCCTCACAACAATCCTATGAAGTAGGTGTCTTTGTATCCATTTTGCAGAGGAATTGACTAGTGGGACACGGAGAGGTTAAGTAACTTGCCCATTGTTTGTAGGATTTTTCTTTGCTTTCTTGTTTTCATTTGTAATCACCCTTAAATAACTTTCATGATGTTTGGATTTAATGATCCTTTGACTTATCTTGACTGAATGATTCTTTATCTTAAAACTTGATTTCTTCTACTACCTTGTTCTTTTATAAAATAAAACCTCTTTTGTGTAATACAGAGCATAATATAGTATAAATCATTTTTTAGACTAAGATAGAATGTTCAGATAATGGAAGATTATGGCAATTTAATAAAAGCAAAGTGTTTATAGCCTCTTCAGATATGTAGCCTGGATTCATTATTAATAAGTAAATTTGTTAAGATTTTTTTTTTAAACCCAAAGCTTCACTTTATACTGCTACTAAATTTTTAATATCAGAGATTTTGTGAGCACAGAATGAAATGCTGGCAGTTGTTTTTGTTTTAATTTATATGCAATTAAATATTCACTTTTTAAAACATTGCCAATTTAAATATCTAGTTTTTTTTTTCTTAAGCCTTTAAGCTCAATTTATACATTTTTAAAAATCATACTTTCACTAAATTTTCAGTTAATTTTTTTTAATTGTTTAAATTTTAAATCAAATTCCCTGAAACATTTTTTGAAGCACCTGACAAAGTATACAATGAATCAAAAAGCATAATAAGATGACTAAACAAATATTGTAAATCTAAATCTAATAAATGAGATAAGTTCATAAACCAAGTTCTAAATATTATACATTGTTTACAAACGTGTTGCAAATTTCGTATTATAATGATAAGTCTAAGATAGATCCTCTAAAAAAGCATTCCACATATCTTTTAAAAATATAAACAAAATGCATAGACAAATTAATAATTATAGCTCAACTTACCAGTACATCTTTATCTCAAACGTAAAGCAAAGTGTTTATGTTAAGATATATTTCTTTAACCTGTCATTTCTTTATCCCTAAACTACAAATCTGATTATCCAACAAAGAAGAGTAGAATTTGCATTTTTCAGCCTTCTAGTACAACTTAGATATATATTTGGGATCAGGGCAGGAGGCCTCTGTCTACCCAACCAGAGACTGCATACTTTGCAGGCACTGCCTCCTTCCGTCCCCTTTTTATTGCCAGGCTTTTGCCTGCCATTGTTAACAGGAAGTTTATAAACCTTCATGTAAATCTAACTGAACATTTTTCAGTTTTTTGCAACCTGGTTCTTTTCCTCGAAATGATGCATTGCTTAAGTTTTTCCCTTAGGTTACACTTCTTACCTGTTTTAAATGGGGTTTTCTAAGCCCAATTATGTACATACTGTGTAACCTTTGGCATTAAAGCCTATTTGTGTTAATGGTGTTTTGACACCCTACTTAGGTTACAATAGTAACCCTTTCTCTTTTATAATTTGATTGCTGCCTCTTTGACCATCAGTCATTTTACTGACAATGGTGATCAAGTTTAGTTTTTAACCCCTTTAAATTCACAAAGCCAAAATGATTTTTCTCTCCTAGGAATGCCAGAATCACCTCCGCAGATATGGAAATGTGAATCTGGAACTGGTGACTCGAATCATTAGAGATGGTGGCCCATGGGAAGATCCAGTGTTGCAAGCTGTTCTTAAAGCCCAGCCAGCATCTCAGGAGATAGGTACTTCAGGAGATTCAAAATCAAAACCAGCATTTGTGAGAAGCAAACACAATTTCATTTCCTAACTAGAGCAGTAATAGTGATTTTTTCCTTTATTTTATAATACTGAATAATAGAGTGATATATTTTCACATGAAAAGCGTGTTATCCTAACCTGGCCCAAAGTGATTTTTGATACCAGACTAGGTACATTTATTCAAGAATGTTAACACATTTATTCGATGTTATATTTGTTTTTGTTACTTCAGTTAGTTATATTTTTAAAATCTGGTTTTTAAAAATAGGAACACCCTTTTTACAAAAGAAAAACAAAAGCTCTGCTTTTCAGGAAAGCACATGGAATCTCCCTTTCACAGGAAACTCCATGAGGGCTGGAACTCTAAATTTTTCTCACTTCTGCAGCATATCCTACAGCTATCCCCAATACAGAGTAGATGCTTAATATAAATATTTGTTGGCTGAATGAATACATTTCAGTTCCAAATATTCTAACGCAGTATTCCCCAAACTTCATCCAGTATTAGAAGCTTTGTCTCATACCCTCACACCTGCATACTTCTTGATATCACCTCTTGTCAAACTTAGATCCAACAAGTGGTCTCTTATGGGCCAAAATTTCCTTTTTAGGCAGGAGGCTCTCTCAACAGTGTCTAGTTAATTCATTTTTTAAATGTTCCCTATATCAAGGGTCCCCAAACCCTAGGCCATGGGCTAGTACTGGTCTATGGCCTGTTAGGAACTGGGCCACACAGCAGGAAGATGAGCGATGGAGGATGAGCAGAACTTTCTTCTGTCAGATCAGTGGCACCATTAGATTCTCATAGGAGTATGAACCCTATTGTGAACTGAACATACAGAGGGTCTAGGGATTTAGGTTGTGTTTCTTATGAGAATCTGTTGCTTGATGATCTCCCCCCAACTCTCATCTGTGGAAAAATCGTCTTCCAGTCCCTGATGCAAAAAAGGTTGGGGATCACTGCCCCATATTATTCCCGAGCCTCAAAACATTTTGGATCACCAAACTTGGAATGTAAGCTCAGCAATGATGAATAAGCACAAAGGTGTAGAAAACATTTCAAAGTGTAGAGAGAGTCTATGGAGTTTAGTTACAAGACAGCCAAAGGGAACAGACAAGACTTCCCAACCCTGGAGCCAGTTAGACCTTGGTTTGGTGAGAAAGATACTTTATACCACAGATTGGAACAGCAGGTTAGGATATTTCTATTTGTCCTAGGTTAAGGGGCAGGGGTAAGTTGTGAGTGCAGCTGAGTGGAGGAGTTGTGATCCTCAGGCTTAAGAGGAAGCCAATCCTAAATACAAGTGTGGAGGACTATGATAAAGACATGGGAGAAATGCTGGGTGTGATGGCTCACACCTGTAATCCCAGCACTTTGAGAGGCCAAGGCGAGAGCTTGAGCCTGTAGGTTTGAGACCAGCCTGAGCAACTTGGTGAGATCGCATCCTATCATTAATCAAAAAATTAGCTTGGCATGGTGGTACATGCCTTTAGTTCCAGTGGAAGGATTGCATGAGCCCAGCAGATGGAGGCTGCAGTGGCCTGCACTCCAACCTGGGCAAAAGTAAGACTCTGACTTAAAAAAAAAAAAAGACTAGGAGAAGCAATGCACAGTAGTGAGATGGGATGGGGAGGTGGGACAAAGCTAGGAAGATAGGGCTAAGGTGTTTATGGTAGTGCTACGGAGAACCCGGGTATAAATAGGATATTGATGCTTGATGTGTGGATCTTGGCAAGGGATTAAAAATCTGAATAGGAAGACAGCTGGGGCTGAGGAGGAAGAGTTTGATGATTGAGAAAAAGTATGAAGAGTAATATAAGAAAGCTGGAATGACAGCGGAAACTGAGGATACTGGGAAATTCGGCCAAAGGGGAAAAGGAGTTGGACAGATGCAGACCTTCGGAAGGAGTGAGGACAGGGGAGAGGAACCGTTGAACTTTTATGGGAGACTTTACGCTTCTCTCAGTAGGAGTTAGAATAAACCTGTGGCTGGTTGGTCTCAGGGCTGATGGCCTTCTGGGCTGGAAAGTACACTAAAGTAATAAATACTCCTTTCACACCTGTACTAGCATACCTCACTGGGCAAAAGGCTGCTCTGCAGCCTCATTAACAGGATGACTTGTTACTAGTTGATCATTAGTGCAAAGACCAGGCTGACGTTTATGTTTGCATTCGCTGTGCAAATCAGTGTTTGCTCACCTCATATTGTAAAGGAATTGCAAGGCAGATGATTAAGCCAAAATAAAATATTCATAAGCACTGCAGAAGCTACTGATGAAACAGAAGTAATTAAAACACTTTGGGATTCAAAATCATATAATATCCCACTTCCAGTTACTGCTCTGACACTTAATTTTGTTCTTGGGCAAGTCATTTGACCTCTCTGAGACTCAGTTTTGTGATCTGTAAAGACAGTATCATAACCTGTCATAAGGTTGTTGTTAGGTCTAAATAAATTTATGTAGCCAAATACATTTATATATTTTAAAATTGTGTAAAAGTATTAATTAGCAATTATCCTTAGTGATACACTTTTGGATTCATTTTATTTTTAAAAGTAATAAAACATTTTTCTTCAGCTTTTTCATTAATTTAGATTAATTTCTCTATAATTAATGTGAACTAATATGACAAATTGGGATTCAGCCTTTTAATATTAATGAAGATATTGTGCAGTAAGAAGATAATGTATGTAAACATACACTAAGAAAAGACAGCAGAGGTCCATGTTACTTATAAGATATTTTAACATATTAATGAACTGAAAAGAAAATTTCATTTAAAAAATTTTGTTTTTATTTTTGTTATTTACTTTGTAGACTAAGAAGAAATCAAATATTTCTTGGGCACTGTTTTGGTATTACACTTATTTGCAGTTTTCCAACCATATAACTGAATATTTTTACAAATAACCTCCTACTAAGAAAAATGTCATTTAATTAAATAACTAGCTAATCTAATTAGATACCATATTTTAGTGATAAAGTTTCAAACAACGTTTGAGAAGAATCTTCTCTTGATAGTAACAGAGTTTGTTTTCTTTTTAATATAGTGAACAAATACTTAAGTTCTGAAAATCCACTGTTCTTTGAACTACGTGCCAGATACCTAATTGCTTGTGAACGTATACCTGAAGCAATGGCTCTTATTAAGTCTTGTATAAATCACCCAGAAATCAGTAAAGACTTATACTTCCATCAAGCACTCTTCACATGTCTGTTTATGTCTCCTGTAGAAGACCAGCTATTCCGGGAGGTATTGCTTTAGACTGTTTTTGCCTATTATCATTTTAGCCCTACCCAAAAGAACCCAGTAGCTCATAGTTATTGTTAAATTCCTTTTATAGGAATGCCAAAGATTTAAGGATTACATTATCTAGGTGTGTTCTCTTTTGGCACCTTTCTTTGAGGTCATGTTGAATTAGTCAGAATCTAATATTAACACATGATAAAATTAATAAAATATTCTCATTAATAAGCCTCATTCATATTGAGCTTTTGGTGTGACAGAGAAGAGGTCAAATGAAAACCAAGAAGCTCACAGTTTGCCAGGAATAAAAACAAAACCAAACCAGAAGCATTATGATTTTGCCTTTTAAATAAAGTACTAAGAAGTTAAATGCTCATGTTTGTTTTTTGAGATGAAATTAATCTTTTCCTAATATGGACCCTATTTACTCACAAGTGGCAGGCATTAATGAGATTAAAATAATCATTGAAAAGTGTAGGTACTATACAGTGAAACTATGAAACCATGAAAATATTTCTACAATCATTATTGTCTTTGTAGAAACAAACTAGAAATTTAAGTAATTTCCTCTGAATGTTTAAACATTTATTAAAACTAGCTTTTCAGATATTTTTAATATGAACTATTTTTCTTTCCTCTCACAGCATTTATTGAAAACCGATTGTAAGAGTGGAATTGCTATCATCTGTAACACTGAGAAAGAAGGCAAAACTATGTTGGCTTTGCAACTCTGTGAATCCTTTCTTGTTTCACAGCTCCAAAATGGGGATATGTACTGTATCTGGTAAGTGTTCCTAAAAAAAGAAATTGAAATGGTAAGTTGAGCAACAGAAGGAAAACTGGCTAGCAGAATTTGGACTTAATATTTAAAAAAACAAAATTCTGTGATAGTGTTAAAAAAACTTACTGTAGAGGGAACAATAGTAGGTCTATAGATCAAGTAACAATAGAATAGTAGGTTCTAAGAACCAGAGATACTAAAAAGGGATACTAAACTGATAGTGTAAATGTTTAAGAGATATGATAAAACAGTTGTGTTTGAAATTTAAATTGGGAGTCTTGAGTTTTTAAGAACATTTAAAAGTTAGCAGTAGGATATATGAGGCAACAAACTTACCTAGCAATTTTAAAATTTAAAGTGTGGCATAAGAATGTTTTTAAGTGCCTAAAATGAAAATACTCTTCAAGTACTAATAAGAACTTTTGTACCACATTTTCTTTATCCAGTCCACTTTTGGTGGGCATCTCAGTTGGTTCCATGTTTTTGCCATTGTGAATAGTGTGCTGTAGTGAATATATGTGTACAGTTGTCTTCTCAGTAGAGCAATTTATGTTCCCTTGGGTATATTCTCAGAAGCGGGACTGCTGGATCATTGGAAACTCAATTTTTAGTACTTTGAGAAGTCACCACACTGCTTTCCACAAACGTTGAATTAGCTTACATTCCCACCAACAGTGTAGAGCCATTCCTTTTTCTCTGTAGCCATGCCAGCACCTGTTGTTTTTTGACTTTTTAAGTAGGTGGTATCACACTGTAGTTTTGAATTTGTACATGATAGAATATTATGCATCCATATAGAATAAAATTTGCAGCAACACGGATGCAACTGGAGACCGTCATACTAAGTGAACTATCACCGAAACAAAGAACTGAATACTGCATGTCCTCAGAAGTGGGCCCTGATCACTGGTCTCATGAGCACAAGTGTGGGATCAGCGTAGCCCTGAAGGGATGGGAAAGGAGGGGGGCACGTGGCAACACACTGGGTACCTGGGTCCACTGTCGGAGAGAGGGCCAGCTAGAAGCTCAGACTTCACCTGTGTGCAGCTTAATTAGGTAGTAAATCCTCACTTGTACCCCACAACTCTACAATAAAATAATAAGTAAATAAATAAAGCACTATTACAAAAAAAAGGTAAAAACTTTTGCTTTCTCTCCTCCAATAGACATATATACACTTACACACACAAAACACCTACCACTTAGCCATTTCATTAGTTTTTAAGGGAAAATTGTTTCATTTGCTGAACATAAACATTTGAAATGATATAAAAATTTTTTTAATCAATGTTTTTGAATTTTAAATTCTGAAATACTTGAAACAGTAGCTTGAAGACATTATAGCTCTTAATCATACTTAAATATTCTTGTTTTATAACAAAAATCTTTAGATTCACAGTCAAATAGCTCATCAGGAGCAGAGCTAGCTCTAGAAACAAGTAAACTTGTCTTCTGTGGGGTACAGTATACTTTTAGTTAGATTACGCTAACTTTTATTCAAAAGTATACAGTGTAGATTGGAATTTCAATTAGAGAAAGGGATTAGAAGGCAGTGTTAAGACATACTAATTCAGTTGTGCGTTGCCTAACACTGGGGATACATTCTGAGAAACATATTGTTAGGTGATTGCATTGTTAGTTGAACATCATAGAATATACTTGCACAAACCTAGATGGTATAGCTCAGTGGTCCCCAATCTTTTTGGCATTAGAGTCTGGTTTTGTGGAAGACAATTTTTCCATGGACCAGGGTGGGAGGGATGGTTTGGGGATGATTTAAGCACATAACACTTATTGTGTATTTTATTTCTATTATTATTACATTGTAATATATAATGAAATAATTATACAACTCACCATTAAAAAAAAAAAAAGAGGCACAAATGGAAGTGGTAAATAAAATAATGGGTGGGACCTAAGTGTCAGATTCTGTCTTAAAGCCTGCCACCAGATGCAGCTATACAATTGAAGTATGCCAACTCACTTGCCATTCACTGACAGGGCTTTGATATTAGTCTGCAAGCAATTGATTTATTATGGTCTCTGTGCAGTCAAACCTCACTGCTAATATTAATCTGTACCTGCAGCTGCTCCCCAGCAGTAGCATCACCGTCTCGGCTCCACCTCAGATCAGGCACTGGATTCTCATAAGGAGCATGCAACCTAGATCCTTTGCATGTGCAGTTCACAGTAGGGTTCGTGTACCTGTGAGGATCTAATGCTGCCACTGATCTGACAGGAGACAGAGCTCAGGTGGTGATGCAAGTGATGGGGAACAGTTGTAAATAAAGATGAAGCTTTGTTCACTTGCCCGCCACTCACCTCCTGCTGTGTGGCCTCATTCCTAACTGGCCACAGACCAGTAATCCTGGTTTTAAGCTATATGATATGGCCTATTTCTCCTAGGGTACTAGTCTATTTGCATGTTCCCATACTGAATACTGTAGGCAACTGTTAACACAATGGTAAGCATCTGTATATCTAAACATATCTAAACATAGAAAAGGTACATGAAATTATATTATAATCTTATGGCACAACTGTTATATATGCAGTCCACTGTTGACTGAAATGTCATTATGTGGGACATGACTAATGTTCAAAATATCATTTTTTGAATAGTTATTTAGAAGTTAAAAACAGTCATGACTGTTGCAGGAGATCTTTTCTTAATTTATGTTCTCTGTCTTTAGCTATATCAAACTAAACAGAGTATCTTTAGGCTTTTCAGGTTTTAATATACTCATAAATAACTGGAAACAAGTATATGCAAACAAAAATTCAGAATTATATGCTTTTATTGTCTTCCCTTCTTGGCTAATCAATTTCTACTCTTTAGGGAAGGATCTTAAAAACATTGCAGTGCCTATCTTCTGGCTCCTGGCCACAGACACCCTCCAAAAATAGATCAGTGTGCGACTCCAGATGCCTAATTGGAAAGGAGTCTAGAGCCTTTTTTATTTTGTTTTGTTTTGTTTTTTGGCTCTTCTTTCTGAGTAGCCTGGGGTTCTGATGGCCTGCTTGCTTATTCTTCTCTCTCTTCTCTATATTTCTGAATGCTAGGGTCCTTGTTCTTGCTTCTGAAGTTGATTTTTACTGTAATTTGAAGAGCAGGACTTTTCTCAGTCAGTGAGGTCTGTGTTGTTCGTTTCATCCTGGCCTTGCCTGTGAGCCAGCTTGCCATTCACCTCCCCTCTCTGTGGACAGACCCAGATCCACAGTCCCATTTTGCACCATCTCAAGCCATGGGGAAAGCTGCTTAGCCCATTTCTCTTTCACAGTCACTAATAATAAGAGCAGCTGCTAACATTTGCTGATTGCTTCCTGTATTCTGTGCTTTATGTAAGCACTGTGTCATTTAATCCAACATTCTTATAGGGTAAATAATATTGTGCTCAAGCCATTCAGCTAGTAAATAGTGAATCCAGGATTCAAACCTAAGCAGCCAGACTCACAGCCTCTGCTATATTAAGCATTACTTACTATAAATGGGTCAAGTGAAAAAAAAAATCTACATTGTAAGAGTGACTATTGACTGTTTTGTAGCCTTTTTTCAGAAACTAAATAACATGATGATGGTATTAGTAGCTAATAGCACCCTTTATTAGCTAGTTACCTGGGAAATGTGTTTGTATACTGAATGGGTGCCATGTTTTCTAAAGGACACTCCAAATAAAAAAAAAGATGTGAAAGCTTCATTAAACTTGCCCTTTTGGTCTTCTAAAAGAAGATTATCAGTCCTCAGGGTGTTTGTCTGTTTTCCTTCAAAATTCAATGAACAAGTAAAACTTGAGATCCCATGTTAAAATTCAATCAAAATGGAGCTTCATAACCCTATCCTGAGATTTCTGCTTTGCCCGCTTGAAAGGTAAAATCATACTGGTAGCCCTCTCCTGGCAAACTTATTAGGATCTTGGGGTACACATTTTGTTTATCAAGTTTTTTCCTGACTTAGACACAAAAAGAAAATAAGATCTTAAAAAATCATTTGTGTCCTAAGAATGTAAAGAATCTAAAATTATTCACCTGTATAGTATTGAATGATGCTTCTCTCCCATGATCTCCAACTATCATTTTCTGTTTTAAAATCTGTTCATTGTGTTTCAAAATTTGTTGCAGAGATATACCATGTTTTCTTAAACATAGCTGATCTGTTTGCCTTCTTCCATCCAAATCCGTTTTTTTGTAAAATACCCCTTTATTTAGAATGTCCACCATCATGTTTGATCTCATCTCATGTCTGCAATTTCCCTGAATATCTTAATATATTTCCTCAAAAGGCTTTCTTTCAGCATTTAGAAATAGAATTTTTACCACATTATCAACTAAAAATATAATCTGCTTGGTACTATGAGGATTACAAAGACAGTAATACAGTAAGTCCCTTACATATGAACAATCTCTATTCTGAGATCCCTTTACAAGTCCAATTTGTTTGTAAGTCCAAAGTTAGCCTAGGTACCCAGCTACACAGTCACCTATATAGTCTTGTACTGTAATAGGCTTATAATATTTTTCACACAAATAACACATAAACAAAGTACACAAAAGCACAACCACTTGTAGAGGATGCATGCACTTGACAATGAATTCCAGACACAAGAACTGACTTACATGACTGGACATGTGAACGCACATTCACATCTTTGAAAGTTTGTATAAACAGGACTTACTGTATAGGAAACTGGTGGTTTATTAAATGTTAGTACATGCCAGACATATTACCTAGGTCTTTCACTTATCAGTTCTTTCATTGAATAAGAAGAATCCCAACTTTGTCTTTAAAAAAAGTAGATAAAAGAGATAAGTCACATAGCTAAGTACAAAATGGAGTTGGAATTTATACTGTTCAGCTTAAAATCGATATCATCTGTGCCTAACTAGTGTATAAAAAAATATTTATTTATTTAAAGGATACTAGGGTGCAACATGAACTGCAGGAAGGGCAGGGATACATGTGGTCCTCAAAGATAACTGCTACCAGGGACAATGAGGTTGCTAATGTTTTTCAAAAATCTGTTTCTCTCTTCTGTCAATTAGCTTTAGTCTGTCCTGCTGCAGGCCAGCAGGAACACCAGCAGCTCCCAAGAATAATAGTTTAGAGTTGACAACATCCTAGGGACTTTGACTGGGGTCAGTTTCCCACTCCTAAAGGGTACAAGGGAGGGTCACATATTAATAGGAGATATGGCCACTGGGGTTCTACCGTGTGTATTAGGGCTATTCTATGAAAAGAGTGGCTAACTGAACTGCCACACTAATTAGTGTATAATGCTGTATTAAGATTTAGGTCTCTCTTTACTTCCAATCCCATGTTCTTACTGCTGTCTCCACTATAGTGTGCCATTGAGATTTACAGTGTATTAACAGTTGGGGAAATAGAACCTATAAAATACAAACAAGGAAACATGAAAAGCATGAGATCATCAGTTAAGAGGGATAAGATCTACTCTGAAACAGGTATCACTTTAGTTTGGGGGACTATATTCATGATGGCTTTCATGAAGAAGAGATACTTGATTTGGCATTTGAAAGATAAACTCATCTTCGAAATGAAGACGTACTTTCCAAGTAAAGCAATTGTCATCATAAACAAAAGTGAGAATAAATGAAGCAATTTAACTGATAGTAAAGAGACTGACTTAGAAGAGCACCTAAGATTCAAATCCTGAATTCTCTGACTCCAAAACCCATTTTTCTATTGCTGTGAATACTATAGAGCATATTGAATAAGCGTTAAATGATAAAGAGGCTGAAAACAAATCAGTTTAGCTACTGCTATAGAAATACATGTGTAAAATTAAAGGGCCTAAGGTGGTAACACTGAGAAATAATTAATATAGCTGAGAGCAAAAATATTATTAAAAATATACAGAAAGATAAACAGGTTAGAACCAAACAGGCTAAAGGAATGTTTAGTGTCACTGACTTATTAGATCATCAATTTTACAGGAATATGATAAATGGGTTATAAATGGGTTAAGTGATAGAAAGCAATATAAGTTGAAATACATAGGCATGAAAATTGGAAAGAAGTTGAAGCTAGGCACTGGTATGAACCCTGGTGAATGTTCTAAAGGACTATATGTGCAAAAATAAAAGGTGGATGGTAGAATGAAACACACAGCTATTGTGAAATGGAGGTGTGATTTTAGTTTTGCTTCTCATATGTTGCTTACTGATAATTGTATTGTCTGTCTCAGTAGACTATCTGCACCTTCACAGTGGTAATCAAGCTGTTAACACCTGTATGTGTTGGGCTCAAAGTAAATACTCAGCAAATCACTTAAATTTTTTTTCATTATTTTAATACCTTAAAAAAATTGTTTTTTGTAGAAACAGGGTCTCACTGTGTTGCCCAGGCTAGTCACAAACTTCTGGCCTCAAGCAGTCTTCCCACCTGTCCTGAGATTACAGGTGTGAGCCACCACACCCAGCCTATTTTAATACTTTTAGATTATGGTGTTTTGTATACTTTTTTTTGAGTCAGAGTCTTACTCTGTCAACTCAAACCGAAGTGCACTGGCATGATCACAACTATAGTGACTGCAGCCTTGACGTGGGCTCAAGTGATACTTCCACCTCAGCTTCCCAAGTAGCTGGGACTACAGGTGTGTGCCATCATGCCAAGATAATTTTTTGAATTTTTTCTTCTTTTTTTTTTGGTAGAGACGAGGTTATGCTATGTTGTTCAGGCTGGGCTCAAGCAGTCTGCCTACCCTGGCTTCCCAAAATGCTGGGATTACAGGCATGAGTCACGCCACCATGCCTGGCTGCTTTGTATACTTTTATGACATGTTTTAAGGAATTCTAATTTGGTAAAATGAAATGTCCAGCCATATAAATTATATCTTGTAATTTGCCTTGGCTTCAAAGGCCACTGCTCCTAACCTTGTTCATCTAATAACACTGGCCATATTTTAGAAAAGAATCTACCTATACAATACTTTAAATGGTCATAGCATGTCTGTTTAAAAGTACTACATCTGGGCCAGGCTCAGTGGCTCAACCTGTGATCCCAGCACTTTGGGAGGCTGAGGTGAGTGAGTTGCCCTAGCCCGTGGGCTCAAGACCAGCCTGGGCAACTTGGCGAGACCTCGTCTCTACAATAAATCAAAAAATAGGCCAGGCATGGTGGCACCTGCCTGTAGTTCCAGCTACTTGGAAGGCTCAGTTGGAAGGATCACCTGACCCCAGCATGTTGAGAATGAGGTGGCCGTGAGCGTACCACTGCATTCCAGCCTGGGCGACAGGGTGAGACTCCAACTTAAAAATAATAAATAAATAAATAAGTAAATTAAAGTACTACATCTGAAACATACTATTTCAGAATCAATATTACAATATACGAATACTTTTAATCTATAATACTTTTGGTATCTTAATACATTAAAAATAAAAAATATGAACTGTTTCTTTGTATACAAAATTGGTTTCTAAATTTACAAGAAGGATATTAAAGGCTTAAGTTTATTGTTTTTAAGTAATATCAATATTGGTATATTGGGATTAGAAGTTTGGTTTTGATTTAGTACTAGAGATGTCTTAGGTTTGCCAATATATAGTTGGAATTCATTCCTTATCACTGCAGGTTTTTAATTTCTGATCTTTTTCTCCCAAACTTCTATTAGTCTTATATAGGTAGCAGAAGTAGCTTGGGGGATGAACATAGTATACATTTACACCCACTTTTTACACATTCCAGCCAGGGCACTACAGAATCAGGGAAAGATAGCTAATGTCTGTATTTGAATAAACTGTATTTCTGATATTTCTCTTTTTCTCATTTACAGGGAATTGATTTTCATATGGAGTAAACTACAGCTTAAATCTAATCCTTCAAAACAAATTTTTGTAGATCAATGCTACCAGCTTTTAAGAACAGCAACTAATGTGAGAGTCATATTTCCTTTCATGAAAATCATTAAAGATGAGGTAAACAGGATATATTTATGTTTTTAATTTTAAATTAAATTTAAATAACAGGTCATTGAAACTTCAATCTCTTATGATAAATTTTATTGAATTATAAAACTGAAGGGAAGGAGGATTTTAAGGCCACATCTCCATATATTACATCCTCTTCTGCCTCGACTGCAAACTCCCAACACTGTACAAAGGGTAGGGTATATATAAGTGAAAGTAACTTTTATAAGGGAAAAAAATCAAATTTATTGTGACTTAAAACTTTAAATGGTAACAATTAAAAGCTATCATCTCAGCTAGGCACGGTGGGTCACACCTATAATCCCAGCACTTTGGGAGGTGGAAACAAGAGGACTGATTGAGTCCCAGGGGTTGCAGACCCTTATCTCTACAATAAACCAAAAAATTAGCTGGTTGTGGTGGCGCATGCCTGTGGTCCTAGCTACTTGGAAGGCTGAGGCAGAAGGAACACCTGAGGCTGCAGTGGCTGTGAGCGTGCTACTGCACCCCAGCCTGGGTGACAGAGTGAGACTCTGACTCAAAAAAAAGCTATCATCTCTTTTATAATTGAATAAAAGGGCTGCTTTTAGCATCATCCTAGATCCTGTTTGTAGACTCTCAACTAATTTGCCAATAAGCTCTTTGTGTATGTAGGAGATGTCTTAGGTATGCCAATATATGTTTTTAGAAATAGCCGTAAGTCAAGTTTTTCTTGGGACACTTGCAAGTGAGTACAGTTCTACATGGGCTTTACTTAAACATGAAAGTGGATCCTGCAGATCTTTTAACTTTTCTCCCTAAATATTAATGGGACTTTGAATACAAAGACAAGAAAGATAAAGCCACTTGACATTTTAGGTAATATCATTTAACTGAATCTTTATGTGGGTTATTTTTAAATATATATAGAGGTGAGCCGGGCTCGGTGGCTCAGCCTGTAATCCCACGCCTTTGGGAAGTTGAGGTGAGTGAATTGCCTGAGCCCATGGGTTCGAGACCCGCCTGGGCAACTTGGCGAGACCTCATCTCGACAATAAATCAAAAAATCAGCTGGGCGTGGTAGTGCATGCCTGTAATTCCAGCTACTCAGAAGGCTGCGGAAGAATCACCGGAGCCCAGCAGGTCGAGGCTGCAGTGGCTGGGAGCAGCCACTGCACTCCAGTCTGAGCAACAGAGTGAGACGCCAACTCAAAAAATAAATAAATAAATAAACAAATAAACAAATAAATATATAGAGAGAGGCCTCCATTGAATAATACATTTTAACTTTTAGTTCTGTATTTATACATGTATTACATTTATTATCATATCACTTATTAGATGCATGATCATATAGTTATCACATTTCTGTGATACAAAGTTGGCAGCATTGTATCAGAGGGTTTTTTAAATTTCTAATTTGTTTTGCTAATTGCATTTATACTCTCCTTATTAAGCAGGTAAAATGTCACCAAAAAAAGGGAAAACAAACTATTCTACAAAACACTTAACATCTGATATGCTTTAGAATCACCTGTAAAACTATTTTTTAAAATAAAGATGTATCTGTATTTTTTTACATATGATTCTCATTTGCACTAAAGGTTGAGAGATATTGTTACAGAAAGTTTACAGTATAAGAGAGACTTTGCCAATTATCACAGCTTTCTTATTTTCATATGTATGGTCAACCTAAATACATTATAAGAAGAAAAATTTGATGAAGTTTGAATTGAAATTTTGAATTTGAATATTGAAAATATGCTTAATAGTTTCTGTTCTACTAAAATGCTTTATTTGATGGACTAGATCATTCAGATGCCTCAAAGCTGTTAAAAGAGTCTTAATTACAGTGTTGTGTGAGTTCAGGAGACATTACAGATAATATATCTGAAAAGGCTTCACAGAGGAAAAGATTTAAGCTGGGTTTTAAATGACAAATAAGGATAGTTCTAACATTTGTAGAGGACTTGTAGTTTGCAGAGCACTTTTTCCTCATTTTATTTTTTGTTTTCACAACCATCTAGTGACATTAATAGGATAGCAAAGGGGTGGATGCAGATTAATGGGAGAGACCGTAGGGGGTGGTGGTTGTTGAAGATACTAAAGGGACTTGAATATTTCACTAAAACTTGAAACTTCAGTTCATAAATGTCCTGGAATCATTAAAGGATTTCAGGTAAGGAAGTAGCCTGTTCCCTTTTTTTTAATGATTTAAAAGTTTTAAACTTGAGCATCTGTATACATTATAATTTTGTGAGTCAAGATAGAAGAGAAGGAATTCTGTTTTGGATGGATAGGTTCTGAATTTGCAATATCTGAAAAATCTAGGTAGGAAAATCTAATTTGTAACAGACATTTAGAAATAAGGAATTTGAATTCAGGAAAGATTCCAAGCTAGAGATGATGGATTTGTACGAGTAAACTAAAGTCTGTGGAATAGATCTGATTTCCAGTCATTCTGCAAATGTTTATTCAGAGGTCACTTGTACCAACTTCTATGCTCACTATAGGGAGATACAAAAAAATGAGACCCTGTCGCCTGTAATTGAGGAATTCAAAGTCAGGAAGATGAGAACATACACAAGTGGCTATAAAACAATATATAATGCTTTTTAGAGGTAAGTATAAGTTACCTCAGAGGAAAGAACAGGGAATTTTAACTGTACCTTAGTACAAAGGCCAGAATGAATGGGGAGAAAAAAACCTTCAAAGTAGAACTGATTCTCAAAGAATGAATAAATCAGTAGGAATTTACCAGCTGGATAAAGTGGGAGCAGAATGTGCAACTTGAGGTCTGTCTGTGGAACTAATTGTAAGTAGTTCAGCAGGGATACACAGCATGTAGGGGACTAAGACGATGTGAGGCTGACAAGGTATTATTCCTTCCTGTAGTCTATAACATACTACATGCAGGCAGTATGACACGCGTGCGTGTGTGTGTGTGTGTATGGTTTTAAAGATAATATGGTATCTCCTCCTATTCAAACAAGGAGATTTGGATGATTGCAAACCACTAGAGGTGTTATTTATAACTTGAACCAAGATCGATCAACTACAGATTCCCAACTAAAAGCAGATGCGGTTATTTTTGAGTCATCAGTAAAATTTTCAAAGCTTAAGTTATATTCAGATAACTTCCAGGAGGCTCATTATTCTGGTACCTTACTAGATTTGGAAGGATTATGATCACCTTCTTCATGTGAGCCAGTTTTCCTCCTTACTTGGATAACAGTATTGAATGAGCAAAATAATACTGTTTTAGCACAGCATTATAAAAGTTCTCATAAGCAGTTTTTTTAAAAAACCTAGTTTATTTGTTAGTATGGAAAATTGATAAGTCAAAATGCATACAGTATAACCATTCTGACAAAGAATGAGATTTGTGCCTAAACAACAAATGGGGGTCATGACTTGTAAGAAATTTGTTTTTGGAGTTGGAGTCTCCCTCTGTCACTCAGACTGGAGTGTAGTGGCATGTTCCCGGCCACTACAGCCTCAACTTACTGGGTTCCGACAGTTCTTCTGCCTCAGCCTTCCAAGTAGCCAGAACTACAGGCGCGTGCTACTGTGCCCAGCTGTTTTTTAATTTTATTGTAGAGACGAGGTCTCGCCAAGTTGCCCGGGCTGGTCTTGAGCCCGCGGGCTCCCAGAGTGCTGGGATTACAGATTGAGCCACTGAGCCCAGCCATTTGTAAGAAATCTTAATCATCATAAGTTTATGAAGCGTTTTGTATTATGGTTAGTAGGGCTTGTCAAACATGAAGGTTAAATAAATTGGAAGCTAAAGTGCTATTTATTCCAGATTACTCTCAACATTTTAAAAATAAATCATATACATTTAAAGAGTTAAATAAGGCTACCACTTAGGAAAATTGCACATTGAAATACTGTGTTTATTCAGTGTTCATTTCACAGTTGTATTTTTAAAAGACAGACCAGTTAGTGTAATCTTTTCTTAGAAGTATATAGTAGTAATATTTTTCCCTTTTCCAGGTTGAAGAAGGCTTGCAAATTTGTGTTGAAATATGTGGCTGTGCTCTACAACTCGACCTTCATGATGATCCAAAAACTAAATGTCTGATTTATAAAACAATTGCACATTTTTTGCCAAATGATTTGGAGATCCTCAGGATTTGTGCACTCTCAATATTTTTTCTTGAGCGTTCCTTAGAAGCTTATCATACTGTTGAAGAGCTTTACAAACGTCCAGATGAAGAATATAATGAAGGCATGAGTAGTGTTCAAAATCGCGTTCGTTTTGAATTACTTCCAATTTTGAAAAAGGGATTGTTTTTTGATCCTGAATTTTGGAACTTTGTGATGATTAAGAAAAACTGTGTAGCACTGCTGCGTGATAAGTCGGCAGTTAGATTTCTAAATGAAAGTACACTGGAAAATTCTGCAGGTAATCTAAAAAAGACAGTGGGACAGCAAGGCTTGGATGAAGAGCTTAACTCTTTTACAGATCACAGCACTGGAGAAACTGATCCTGATGATGTGTCTGGAGTACAGCCTAAAGGTTACCTTAATACGAAGAAAAGCCTTCCCGCTCTTAGTACTTCCAGAGTAGATCACAATGTCCCGAGACACCGGTGTATGTTATGTAACAAGGAGTTTCTAGGTGGTCACATTGTAAGACATGCCCAGTCTCACCAGAAAAAAGGCAGTTTTTCATGTGTAATATGTGGTAGGAAATTTAGAAACAAAGGACTTATGCAGAAGCATTTAAAAAATCATGTTAAGAAGATACAGAGACAGCAGATAGCTGCAGTTCAACAGGATGATCAGGAAATCACTGTTGTAGAAGAAATAAATTGTTCCAATTCTTCCATTTCACTTGAAAATGGGAATTCTGATAATAAAGATTTGGAAGTAAAGACTCTTACTGCTTCTAGTGATGGAAACAAAGAAGTCATCCCTGAGCATGTGGTTGAATTCATTGAAATTCCTGTAAGTGTACCAGATGATGTTATTGAAAACATTATTGAAAATGGCAGTCCCGATACTTCTTTAGATAATGCCTTGAAGCCTTTACCTGAATGTGAGGATGATTATGAGGAGGAAGAGGATGAAGAAGGTGATTATGAAGAAGATGATTATGATTTGAATCAGGAAACTTCAGTACTTCATAAAATCAATGGAACTGTGTGCCATCCAGAAGACATATATGCTACAGATCAAGAAGGAAACTTTAAGTGCCCTGCTCTTGGCTGTGTCCGGATATTTAAAAAAATTGGATTTCTAAATAAGCATGCAATGACTGTACATCCAACTGACTTAAATGTGCGACAAACAGTAATGAAATGGAGCAACGGAAAATGCAAATTTTGTCAAAGGCAATTTGAAGATTCTCAACATTTTATAGACCATCTTAATAGACACAGCTATCCAAATGTGTACTTCTGTTTGCATTTTAATTGCAATGAGTCTTTTAAGCTGCCACTCCAGCTTGCCCAGCATACAAAAAGTCACAGGATATTTCAAGCTCAGTGTAGTTTTCCAGAATGCCATGAGCTTTTTGAAGATCTTCCTCTGCTATATGAACATGAAGCTCAGCACTATTTGAGTAAAACACCAGAATCATCTGCACAGCTAAGTGAAGCAATTTTTTGGGATGTTCATAAAGATTCAAATCCTAATCATCAGGAAAAAGACTCATCTAGTAATGAGAAACAAATTATTAGTCTGCCAGTTTCTACTAGCAAATCAAGGAAAGATTCTACAGAACCAAAGACATGTACAGAAAATATGGAAAAGAAATCAGACAGTTTAGTTCAGAATGGAAATGAACATTCTGATGGCAGTGTTTCAGATATAAGCTTGATAGACCAAAAGATGCCTGACATAGAGCCAAATTCTGAAAATAATTGTAGTAGTGACTTAGTCAATGGACACAGTGAAACAGAGCAAACACCTTTAGTTTCATCAGATCCTCCTCTGAAAATTGATACTAATAGAATCAGGACAGAAAATGGTTCCATTTTACCCAGTGTCGTACCACAAGAACACAATACCTTGCCAGTATCTCAGGCACCTTCCAAACCAAATCTGACAAGTGAACATACTTCATATGGCTTACTTTTAACAAAACCATATGTCAGACCATTGCCTCCCAGTTACCTTGATGAACGGTATCTTAGTATGCCAAAACGCAGAAAATTTCTGACTGACAGAGTAGATGCCTGTTCTGATCAAGATAACGTTTATAAGAAATCAGTGAAAAGATTAAGATGTGGCAAATGCCTGACCACCTACTGTAATGCAGAAGCACTTGAGGCTCATCTTGCACAAAAGAAATGTCAGACACTCTTTGGATTTGATTCAGATGATGAAAGTAAGTCTTCTGTCTTCTCAGTAGATATATCTGTAGAAGTAGAACATGTCATAAATATAATTCTCATCAATCTTTATGAGGTTAGGAAAATTTACATTTGTATAGCTCCGATAGCAAAGCACTTCTCCATATATTATTTCCTGTAATCCATACCACCACTATGAAGTGATACTACTATTCTTGTTTTATAGACCAAGCAACTAAAATTCACAAGTATTTTGCATAGGCCTAGGCCTATGGACTTGTGCAAGCAAGAAACTGAACACACATTGTTCATACTTTTCATATTATTTGATGAGCCTACTTCTTCCATTGTATTGGAGGCTTTTCTTCATTCCATGTTTCATGAAATAAAATTCTAAGAACAAAGTAATTTTAATGGCAATGGATTTTCATATGCATGCCAGAATATAAATCAAGTAAAGCTGAGTCTGTTATAAAAATAGAAGTGAAAACCAAGAACCAGAAAAATAATTGAACAATAAAATCAACAAAGAGCTTGGCTTTCTAATAATATCATTTGAATGACTGAGGGTATAAGTTAAACAGCAATTTGATTGAGAATTCCAGTTGAACATCTATGAAACTTGAATTAACAGATGTGTTCTGTTTTACAGGTGCCTGATAAAAATGTTTCAGAAAGATCTGTCGATCAAGCAGTAGTGTGAAAAAAGCACTAAGAAAATGCATCATCAGTTTGCTATTTCCCCGATGGCCTTAATTTTAGAGCGGTCTTGGATTACTAAAGATAAAGACAAAGCACATTTTCTAGAATGAACTCACAGAGGAGATGTGCTGGCTTCGACTCCAAAAGGGTCATTATAAAACTCCCAAAGTACCAGTTTTCCAGAAAACCACATTTTAAAAAAGTTTATGATGATTTATAGCAGCATGTTCAGTTTCGCTTATATGAGAAACATGTTCAGGCAACTAGTCAGAAAGAAAAAACAGCTATGGCCTTACCTAAAGGGAAAAGTTAACCAGTTATTAAAGGGGGGGGGCTAGTTTACGATAGTAAACAATTTAAAATATTTTATTCCACAAATGGAATTTGTTTCCTTGTCATGTATATGTATAATCAGATTATGTCCTCCTTTCTGGTCAAGCATGGTTTAAGGAACCATTTTGTTTGGTATATATTTTGAAACTGATATACATGAAAATAAAACTTATCACCATGCTATCAAAGATTGTAACTTGTTTCCAGATGATTAATTAGGCCGAAATTCAATGAATGGCATGCCAGCATTGAACATTAAAAAGCAAAACAAAACAAAATGCTTTGCTAATAAGCTCTTGATAGAACCTCCACTAACCACTTTTGTAATACAAATTAGTTATATTTTAAGAGGCATCAGTGTAAGTTAAATAGAAAAAAACGGTCAGTAACTTTGAGGAGAGATGGTCCTAATCTAAGACCATTACAAGCTGTGTAGTTGAAGGAAAACACTGAATTGCAAATTATTCAATGTGAATAATGGTAAAAGTACACTGGGGTATTTCTGTTTGTATATAGTGTTAGGACATTACTTGATGATTCATAGTAAGGTCCTTCAGACATTAATGTGAGTTATCTAAGTATAGTCCTCTAAAAATAACTGGCTTAAAAAAAATCTGTAAGAGAAGAATCAGGTTGAGAATTCATTCATTTTATTCAGTTAGGAGAAATCATTACAAAATAAGCCATACTACTCCTGTTTTTTTATTCATTAGTGGTGAATCTGGACTGAATAATAACTTTAATACATAAAAGGAAGCATTTACACAGCAAGAACACATAAGATAAACTGATGTATTGTTTTCCTTGATGACCAGTAATTTTCCTAAGGAAGATTTTAATTTAACAACAAACTATTAAACAATAAGTGTTTTTAAAAATATCCTCTCAGATGTTTTCCACTTGTCCATTATTGAAAGGAGGTTGTTTAAAGACCTCCTTTTACCTAATAGGGTATAAACCTAAAATAGATAAAAAGAACAAAAATCAAAGGCAAATTCTTTAAAAACAGACTGGCTAAAGTACCAAATATTCCAGTTATTCTAGATAACAAGTCTCTGTTCAAAGCAATCATTAGAGCTGCTTGAATGAGATTACTAGGGAAGTGGGACATTTTTTCCAGGGCAGCATCCAGATTTTATTAAATTAGGATTTCCAGGTCATGATAGATAAGATGACCTAAAAAAAGAAAAAAAAATGTATTTCTCATAGGCATTCAGTACTATGCAATGATGGTCATAAGTCCATTCCAAATGTGTTTGCTTTTATTTTGTTATGTAGCCTACATTAGGCTGTGGAATTTACATTTACATTTACATTTAGATAACAGATAATTACAACTAATAATCAAGTCTTTAAATCCTTTAAGGTCAAATAAAAAATGTTTCCCATATTTCCTGATACTGAAAATGTAATGATTGAGTTTTATTTCAGTTCATTTTAAAAGTATGTCTTATAATAAAAAGTCTTTAAAAACTGGTTCAGTTGGACAATGAAGTTTTTTTTGAAATATAATTTCTGCTTTGTACATTTTCCAGTTTAACATTTTATTGCATTTCTGTTCCGAGTTTTAATCATTGCCATAAATTCACGCCCACAAAGTGTTACATTTTCATTAGTTTTAAAGTTCATGCCAAGATATCGTAAATATATTTCACTTTTGTCTTTAATTTGGGGTTTATTTCTTTTATATTACTAAGAGAAAACTTTCTGAAAGACTGAGATCAAACTGGTTTCTACATAACTAAAGGAATGTTTATAAAATTCTATTTGGCCATACTATTCTGACATCTTTATATACTTCTCAAATAGTGGCTACTGAAATAATGTGTTCATTTTATGCCTGTCTGCTAAAACATAAACCCTTATCATTTTGCTTTTGTGAGTGCATAAACTTCCAATCATTCTAATTTGGGCTTCAGGAGAAAAGGAAGCTTTCTAATTCATCAGATTCTTCTTTTCTTCTACTTTGGAGGATGTATTCATCTTACATGGACCAAGTTTCAAATCTTTGTTTTTAAATAAAAACTCTTTCCAAAAATAAATACTAACTTTCTGCTATATGTCAGTAAGGTTGAGAAAATAGCAAATCTGAATTTTTGCTGCTCAGATATGGAGGAAGTAGAAAAGGGGAACCTCCGTGGACAAGGACACTGGTACTTTGGGCCTTAGCCATATTGATTTTTCAAAAACTAATTATGCATAGATAATTTATATCATTGAACTTGTGATTCTTTTCAAATCACGCTGAAGTTTCAGCTGTGCTCCTTTCATGTTTGGTTGAATACTGTTGTATGGATGAAAAACCTAAAAGGGATGATAGTGTTTATTTTTTAATTTATTTGGTACTGTAAAACACCTTTTCAGAATGAGTAAATGCTGCATATGCATTTTGGAATTGTTAATAATGTGAAAGCTATTAGCTTCAGCAAGAAAGGAAATTTGTGCTTCCTTGTTGAACATTAAATTATTTTACTTTGCATTTTATAAGAGTACAAGTTAAAACTGAGCCATTGAACTGCAATAAATCAACAATAGTGTCTCATTTCAAGAAATTTTTTGTACTGTACATAGATTTGTTCAATAAAACATGTCCTTGTTGGTAATCAAGTGTTCAGTTTTATGTAGTACCTTGCTTTCAAAAGGAATTAGACGTAAGGTATATATTAAATGAGAAATCTCTACTATGTCTCATACAGGAATGGGGTATTTCAGTATCATTACCATATTCATCTTATTTTTTTAAATATGAAAAATTAAAATTTTACACAAAAAAGACATTTGGGTGTTTTAACTAATGTCCACATGCAAGAATAAAATGGATAGAATTCTGGTTACTGAAGTCATTTCAGGTCATTGGTTTTGGTGTGATATAATACTTCGTAAACTTGGTATAAAAGGAATGTTAGGCCAGGCACGATGGCTCACGCCTATAATCCTAGCACTTTGGGAGGCTGAGGTGAGAGGATTGCCTGAGCTCACAGGTTTGAGACCAGACTGGGCAACTTGGCAAGACCTCATCTCTACAATAAATCAGAAAATTAGCGGGGCGTGGTGGCACGAGTTGTAGTTCCATCTACTTGGAAGGCTGAGGCGGAAGGATTGCCTGAGCCCAGCAGGTTCAGGCTACCGTGGCTGTGAAGCTTGCCACTGCACTCCAGACTGGGCAACAGAATGAGACTCCAACTCAAAAAAATAAAAATAAATAAATGAAAGAAAGAAATGTCAGAACTCTTCAGGGACACAGAGCAGATGGAATTACCCTGGTAATTCTTCAAAGATGAAGAGCTTCTGGTGGAATTTAAAACAAAAATACAAAAAATTACAGACTGAAGTCACTTTGAAATTTCAGGATATAAACGATGATGAAAATTACTTCCTGGAAAAGTACTTCAATGGGAAAATGTTCAGTCTGTAACCAAGAATGATGTCCTTGTGCATGGGGCTCCTATGGTTCACAAAGGAAAACTTGCTATCACTGCTATAATTTGCATTTGGAAAATATGGGGCTTTAAATAGAAAAAGAACCTTTCTAATGTGATGAAATAGCACTACAAATGAGAAAAATGAGTTAAAAGTCACTTTTTAAAAGTATTCTTTTTTTAAAAAAAAGTATCTTAAACTTCAGTCACCTTCAAAGTCCTCTCGGTTTGATGTAATACACCTATCAAGATGCTTTTTTCACTGCTCAAAACCATTTTTGAACTCATCAATTTTGATGCCTTTTAGTGCTTCTGCTTTTTGTTTGCCCTCCTCCACATCAGTAAAACGTTTCCCTTTGAGGACTTTTTTCATCCAGGGAAACAAAAAAGCTGATCGGGAGCAAGAGCAGGTGAATAGGAAGATGGAACATGAGGTTCAGGCCACTTTTGATCAAAAACTGCTGAACACTCAGTGCCGTGGGGACTTGTAAATCACCTATCATGAAATGGGCGTACATATTGAAAGAATCTCCACGAAAAAAAAATTGAAGCTGAATGCAGCTACAACGCTGGCCGGTACACTCATTGATACCAATGGGCTCCTAGAACACTTAACTAGTGTGGGAAGCCTGCACTACAAGGTACCTGCCCTCCAAAAAATAATTCCGGATATCTGGGGGGTCCCTGCTCGTATTGCAGATGTTATGCTTTGAGACACTCTGAGAAAGTTATTGAAGTGTTCTACAAATGAAATGTAAAAGTCTCAGTCTGATTTATGATCATATGCTCTTTAGACTGAATATATGCCATATCCAGAACTGAATATATCGAAGTATTTGAACGCAGTTCTAGCAGAGGTCCTCAAACTTTTAAAACGGGGGGCCAGTTCACTGTCCCTCAGACCGTTGGAGGGGCAGACTATAGTTTAAAAAAAAACTATGAACAAATTCCTTTTTTTTCCCTTTAAACTATAGTCCGCCCCTCCAACGGTCTGAGGGACAGTGACCCGGCCCCGTTTTAAAAGTTTGAGGACCCCTGTAACTTTTCTGAAATTCAAGGAGTTTTGAGAAGCAAATACTACTAAACAAGCTTCCAAGATAACCAAACTAAGTTCCTTTTCATAGCACAAGATCCAAACTGATTTCAAGAATCAACTGATAAAATAGGAACAGAAGTTTTGGCTATGTATCAAGATATGTAAGAGCGTTAATCCAATATTACATGGAATAAAAACTAAAAATGGGGAAAACGTTCATGCTTTTTTGATGGGTGCTGCACAAGGGGAATACATGACTTTCTACCAAATTACTGTACACTAGCTACTTTATATGTTACCTCCAATTGTTAAAACAATTCAAAGATAAATATGAACATGCTCTTTAGACACTAAGGCTCAGAAAGGTTAACTTGATCAATCAAGCCACAGCTAATAAATGGAGAGGTATGACTGACCAGCTGTGTCCTAAAACCAGGCTTGCCTTCTGCCATGCAGTTTTGCCTATAAATGAAGAGCATGAGTCCATCTAATATATCCAAGTAGGGTCAGACTTGCCTGAGGATCAGCGATTTTGGAGTCGGAGGGTAAAGTCTGGTACAGACACACCTGGTTGATATATTTCATTATCTTTTAGCAGTGGTTTTTTTTTTTGAGTTGGAGTCTCACTCTGCCGCCCAGACTGGAGTGCGGTGGCCGCTCCTGGCCACCGCAGCCTCGACCTGCCGGGCTCCGGCGATCCTTTGCCTCAGCCTTGCGAGTAGCCGGAATTACAGGTGCACGTTACCACGCCCAGCTGAGTTTTTATTTATTGTAGAGACGTGGTCTCGCCAAGTTGCCCAGGTGGGTCTCGAACCCGTGGGCTCAGGCAATCCACTCACCTCAGCCTCCCAAAGGCGTGGGATTACAGGCTGAGCCACCGAGCCCAGCTAGCAGTGGTTCTTAAAGTGTGGTTTCCAAGTAGTAGAATCAGCCTCACCTAGGAGCTTGTTAGAAAAGCTGAAGTGTGGCCAGATGGGGAACCATTTGTCTTTTGACATCCTCCAGGTGATTCTGATACAAGTTAAGGTTTGAAAAACACAGATCTCAAGTAATAAGGCTTCCTATTTCTCTAGAATGTAAATTATTTCCCCTTAAATTAACAGAGCCTTCTCAGATACTGTTAATTTCTAAGACATTTAAAGTAGTCCTCTATCAATAGGCATTTTAACTACTGTCAGGTGGATATTTTAGTAGTAAGATCTAACACCTCAAACAGCTTTAATTTGGAGTTTTTTTTTCCTCAAGAGGCATTCAGTAATTGAAACTCTTCCAGAACACGATTTAGTGAAACGGTGCAGAGGTGCGGGGATCAGTTTTATAGTTGTGGAGAGCTAAGCTATTAAGTACTGTATCTTCTACTGGGATTGGGCTTCCTCCTATGTTAAAAACGGACAGTCGTTCTTACAAGGTTGGTTATAAGGAGAGTCTGTGAAGGGCCTGGTGCTGAGCCTTTCCTGTTTCTTCAGTGGTTTTCAACCGGGGGTGATGTTGCCCTCCAGGGGACATTTGAGGATTCTGGAGGTATATCTCTGGTTGCCACAAGCAGGGGAGGAGGAGCCACTGGCACTTGGTGAAGCTAAGGATGCTCTTAAGCACCCTACAATACACAGAACGGCCCCCTCAACAAAAATGATCCTGCCCAAAATGTCCATAGTTCCAGGACTCGAGGACTTGGTTTTAGCCCAGTCTTGACAGCAATGCTAATCACACTGCTCACGTGATTGCCGCCTCTTCACTCAAGCTGCTCCATTCTCCCGGCTCCTTCCACAAAACCTCTCTACTGTTGCTGCTCCCTAACAGGCTTCTCTTGTGGTCCACTCACTTTCTTCCGATCCTCAGGGCCACTTAAAGTAACCTTTCCTTTCAACCTGCGTGAAAGAGTAACATCCTCTCCATCCCCTTCTTCTTGACTGATTTTTCTCCTGGCAGAGTATAGAGTTTCAGATATGTCGGCTTCCTCCCACTAGAAGGCAAGGCCCAACACACTTACAGTTTTGTTGTTGCTATTCCCAGTACAAAGAACGGTTAACTGGCAAGTAGCTAATACATTTTTTTTTTTAATGGAGTAACTGAATGAAACAGTTGGACATGCCTTCCATGTGGTGCCACACCAGCATATACAAATGAGCACTGACTGAGGCAGGGTAGCTAGCACAGGTAGACAGATAAAGATAGACACGTTTCCCACAGGAAGGTTTTAGGGAGCGTTCAAATTTTTTTTTTTTTTTTTTTGAGTTAGAGTCTCACACTGTCGCCCAGACTGGAGTGCGGTGGCCGCTCCCGGCCCCCGCAGCCTCGACCCGCTGGG